ATAAGATTGAATGGAACCTGTGGATTTTTAGAAAACCTATTTTTATTTACCTCAAATATCACGATCGTACATACTTCCACTTGATATAATGTTGTTCCAAGTTCCTAAGAACCAAAGCAGGAGCCCCCGATACACACTTACAGGGCACGCTTCACGCGCACTCAAGTAAAAAGAACGGACCAAAATGGGCTTCTTTTTATATAGCGGATGGACAGGCTCGGGTTTCAGGACTCATTTTAGGAGAGGGAACTGGGGGGGGCGGGGGCGTCCCTGTACCGTCTCAGTGCGGAACCATCTGCAACAGCGGGGAGGGGGCGCAGGGCTTCGCAGTGGGGTGTGGAGGCCCAGGTCTGTCTCACAGGTGCCACCTGGAGAGGCCAGACCACCTTTCACGGGGGAGGGGGCGGGCAGAACCTAGTTCCTGAGGACCTGTGGTTGAAGGAAACTTAGGTACAAAGTCATCACGGACGCGGGCGCCACGTCTGGCTCGCTCAGGTGGGAGGCTTGGGGCCGGGGCCATCTCTGATGTGGGCAGAGTCCAGGGCAGTTTGTCCGGCAGGCCGGGGAAGGAGGGGAGGAAGCGAGCAGGGGGCCTGGGCCGGCTCTGAAATGGGACGAAGTCTGCCTGCACGCAGGGCGTCCCTAGCGGAAAGGGCTCGGCCACTGGACACCTGCAGGTTCAGGACCACCTCTGGGCCTCTGGTCCATCCCCGCCCCCTCGCTCCCGGAGCGGAGCGCTTCTCACGAAATCTCCAGCGAGAAAGGTGAGCTCAGCGCTCGTCCCCGCGGGACCCGTAGGCGTGCACGCGCGGCGTTGCCAGGGGCGCCCGGGGCCCCTCCCTCCTTCCCCGGAGCCCGCGTGGGCGGCCTGAGACCTGCGGAGCATGCGCGCTGGAGTCTGGCTCCGCGCGCCCTCTGGCGGCTCGGGGTGAGCATCGCTCAGCGACCCACTTAGACGGGGCGTCCCCGCCCCCGCTCTGCCAGGAAGCGCCTCCTTCCCTATGAAAGGGGGCGTCGCCGAGCCCGCCACAGCTGGAGGTCTTACCTCGTGGCAGTCTCGGAGGAAGTGCTGCAGCTCGAGCTGGTCGTGAAGTTTCTGCATCCAATGCTGGGCCCGTAGCTGGTTTTCTTGGTTCCTGGGGATGGGGAGATAAGGGCTGCGGAGGGGCCCAGTTTAGGGGGGCTGAGGGCAGGGGCAGCGCAGAGGGACAGGCAGAGCTGCGATGAGATTCCGCCGGCGGAGACACAGGCAGACGGACCCAGGGGCACCAGAGTGGGAGCCCCAGGGTGTTCTGACAGCCTGGCCTCCAGCCCACAGTGCAGGGCAAAGAGCCCCAGTGGCCTGATGGAGGGGTGGGGGCATGCCCGTCCTGCCACTGCCACCTCCCCAGGGACAGAGGGAGGAGAGAGTGCTAACTTCTCCAGGCCCAGGACCTCCACATCCCCCGCCCCCAACTCCGATGTGGACTCCTGGCCCTGCCTTGAACAAGCCACTCCCACCTCGGGACCTCAGCACGGTTCGTCCTTGCAACGAATGCTGTTTCCTCCCCATCACCTCCTTCGCAAGGCCGGCCTGTCTGCCTCTGTCTCAGTCACAGCGCCACACTGAGCGCGCTCCCACCCTGGAAGAGGACCCCCCCCCCCCCGCCAGGGGGCAGGGTTGTCTGTCGGGTCCCTGGGTGCACCCCCGGTGCCTAGGGAGAGGAGGTGGTGTGCAGTAGGTGCTCAGCCCATTTCTGTTGTACAAGAGAAGACAAGAGAGACGCGGAGGCAGAGAGAATGAGAGATGGGAGAAACAAAAAGAACAAACATGGAAAAGACAGGGTTTGGGAGACAGAGCGAGAACCAGAGCGCGAGGGGGAGATCAGGAAACAGACGCGGGGCAGACAGATGGAGGCAAAGGCACAGAGCGTGCCCGAGGGAGTTCCAGGGAGACAGAGGCAAAGCTGGAGAGGAGGCACGGGCAGCCCCGCTCAGCACGCAGCCAGGACCTAGGGAAGGCCCGAGTTTCTGAGCTGAAGCCGGTCACTCCGGGCTGGCCCCAGCCCAGCTGTCAGCGCTCACTCCTGGGGATGAGGAAGAGCCCTCTGAGAAACAACAGGGTTCAGACTGGCTGTGGCCTTGGCGAGGCTGTCCCCGTCTCTGGGCCTCCTGTGTGAAAGGCAGGTGTTTCGGTCTCTTTGTTTATTTGCTTGTTTAAGATTTATTTATTGGGGCCAGCACTGTAGTGTAGCAGGTAAAGCCGCGCCCCACAATCCTGGTATTCTATATGGGCCCAGATAAGTCCCCGCTGCTCCATTTCCAATCCAGCTCCCTGCTAATGCACCTGGGAAAGCATCAGAGGATGGCTCAAGTCCTTAGGCCCCTGTACCCATTTGGGTACAGTCTCTTAAAGGCAGAGAGAGAGTATCTTCTATCTGCTGGGTTCGCTCCCTAAATGCCCCCAATAACTGGAACTGTGGCAGGCCAAAGCCAGAAGCCTGGAACTCCTTCTGGGTCTCCCATGTGGGTGCAGGCACCCAAGCACTTGGGCCATTGTCGGCTGCTTTCCCAGGTGCATTAGCAGGGAGCCACATTGGAAGTGGAGCAGCCGGGACTCAAACCGGTGCCCATGTGGGATGCTACCAGCTTTACCTGCCATGCCACAGCACCAGCCCCTGAAAGGCAGGAGTTCACATGAGCACTGCACACAGGCTGGGCCAGGTCCCCAGAGAGCTGAGGTGTGTGGTGCAGGGGCCTGGTGCCTTGCTGCAAATCTCAGGGTTGAGGGATGGGACCTGGCCCTGTGTGGCCCCACAGTTCTGCCCCTCTGTGGGAACACTGCGCCCTAGGAAAATGTGTGGAGGGTTGCCACTTGGAGTGGGGTGCAGGGCCTGGGGCTCTCACTGCCTGCTGTGCCCCCACTGGGCCCAGCACAAGCCCGGGGTGGTGAGTCGTGATTTCCTTCTGGGCTCCCCGACCCCCGTGTCTGTGTCCTGCCCATCCCAGCTGCTCTGGTCATCCTTGTTGGCAGGCGTCACCCCTGCCCCGGTGGCCGCTGTGTGCCGGCACTGCCCCCACAGGGGGCCCGGAACACAGCTCCGGCTCAGTGTGTGTTTGGTTGACTAAAGAATTTGTTAGCGGGGCCGGTGCTGTGGCATAGCAGGCAGCGCTTGCGGCGTAGCTGCAGTGCCAGCATCTCATACAAGCGCCGGTTCAAGTCCTGGTTGCTCCTCTTCCAATCCAGCTCCCTGCTAATGCACCTAGGAAAGCAGTAGAAGATGGCCCACGTGCTTGGGCCCCTGAACCTGCATGGGAGACCCAGATGGAGTTCCAGGCTCCTGGCTTTGGATCGGCCCAGCTCTGGCCATGTAGCCATTTGAGGATCAAACCAGCGGATGGAAGACCTCTCTCTCTCTCTCTGTATCACTCTGCATTTCAAATGAATAAATAAATAAATCTTTAAAAAAGATGAATGAGTGAAGGAAGAAATGGTCCTGAGGCTCCTCCTGCTCATTCCACGGAGCCGGGCATCCGGTGGGCGCTGGGGGATGCGGGCAGAGCAGGGCAGGGTCCAGGCCTGGAGAGGGCCCGGGTGAAGAGTCTGCATCCACAGGACCTGAATTCCGCCCCCCAAGTGTCCTTCGGAAACCTGCAGCCCCGTTCCTGGTGGATTTCAGGGACGAGGCCTGGGGCTGAGGTCTCAGGGCGGAGCCGAGCGACCAGCTCTGCTCCCATCGAGAGATGACAGGGCAGGAGGAGGGTGCTGGGCCCTGTGCCAGTGAGGAGACAGCTGGGCCACCTAGAGGGACACAGCGATAGTGACCTCGGAAGGTCTCTCCAGGAGGGCCCGGGTTGTTTTTGACTGTAGAGGTGGTGTGTTTGGTTAGAATAGGCCTGGTCCATGGTAGAGGCGGTGTGTCTGGTTTGGGGCCTGGTATACGGTAGATGCTCAGTTAACAGCTTTGCTTGGTTAGTGCAAGACAGACAAGAGGGCAGCGGCTACAGAGGGTGACAGAAACAGAACGAGGCACAAGAGAGGCAGGAAAAACACATGGACGTAGACACGCTCTCTGGCACTTCTTAGAGAGCTGGGCTGGGCAGGGGTGCTTATTCAAAGTAAGTGACATGGGCCAGCACTGCGGTGTAGTGGGTAAAATCACTGCCTGCAGCACCAGCATCCCATATGGGCGCTGGTTCGAGTCCCAGCTGCTCCACTTCTGATCCAGCTCTCTGCTGTGGCCTGGAAAAGCAGTAGAAGATGGCCCAAGTGCTTGGGGCCCTGCACCCAGGAGACCTGTAGGAAGCTCCTGGCTCCTGGCTTCAGATTAGCACAGCTCCAGCCATTGCAGCAATTGGGGAGTGAACCAGTAGATGGAAGACCTCTCTCTCTCTCTCTGCCCCTCCTCTTTGTCTAACTCTTTCAAATAAATAAATCTTAAAAAAAAAAAAAAAAAAAAAAGGTAAGTGACAGGCAGCGTGGCAGGGGATGCCCCCCGCTGGGAAAGCTGGAATACAGCCTGCACTGGGCTTCCGGCTGCGGGATCTGGGGACGGACGCCAGGCCCAGACGCCCTTGCTAAGGGCAGGTTTGGGAGAGAAACTTCTCGTGGTCTACCCTGCTTATCTTTGGGGGGCTTCCAACCTCGTGTTATCTGTCCACGGGACGTCCACGTCCACGCAATCCAAGGCAACATGGAATTACCCAGAAGTCGGAGGGGATAGAGTTCCTGACGCCAACGCGAGGGACCCTGGCCTCTCTCATCCCCCACCCCCACCCCCGCCCCGGCTGCAACGCCCGGGGCCCCATGCCCCCAGGGTCTGGGGACCTACTTCTCCAGCAGCCGGGCCGCCGCTTCCTGGGCCTGCTCGCCGTAGGCGTTGCCCTGCCTCAGCAGGCCCTCAGCAGCCTGCACGGCCACCTGCAGCTTCTGCTGGTTCAGCTCCATGGTGGTGAGGAGATCCCGGTGCCGCTTCAGCGCCTCCTCCACGGCCTCCACCGTGCCCGGGAGCTCCACCCCAGACAGCGCCAGCTCCTGGGAAGCGGGAGGGTGGCGCACAGGTCAGCTGCACACCTGTCCAGGCCTCCAGCCGGGCTGGCCAGCCCCTCCTCCCAGGCCTGCCACGGGCCCTTTGCCCACGCTGGTCTCTGCCTGGCAGTTTCACCCTCCAGTTACCCCCGCTGCTGTCTCCCTCGTTCTGCTCCAGTCCCCGACTGCCCAGCCTAGCCTGTCACTCTGCGGTGTGAGTTCCCAGTGCACACACCTGGCAGAGTGTTATATATGCACCTGCTTGGTTCCTGTCTCCTCCCCATATGCACCCACGGCGGTCCCGGAGGGTAGCATCGTGTGTCCTGCTTCCCGAGGAATGCCTGGGTCCAGCACAGTGCCCGGTGCAGGGGAGACCCTCGGTCAATGTGTGGTTAATTGATGGACAGTGGACTGGGGGCTGTGTGACCTCAAGGAGCTCCTTTCCCTCTCTGGTTTTCTCTTTAGTGAGATGTGTGGGTCTCTCAAGGTCACTTCTGGCGACCTCAGGAGTCGGGGTTCTGTCTGTCCCCCCCAGACAATCCCTGGGTCAGGGTCCCCTCTAGAACCAGCATGGACATTCACTCCTTCCAGGACGATCCCCGCACACTGGCACCTACTCTTGGGCCACCTGAAACTGGGTGTTCCATTGGCCAAGACCCAGGACACTTGGTCCCCGTCCAGGATGACCTCCCACGGGGTCAGCTGTACCCAGGTAACCACCAGCTCTGGCTCCTCAAGCCATAGCCCCAGCTCCATTCCTCAGAGCATCCACAAATGACCACCCCCCATAATGATGACAATCACGCAGCCCTGCCATGTACTGACCCACACCTCACCTCTCTGCCTGTTACCCAACTGCACCATCTCAGTCCTTCCGTACCCACTGCTCCCCCTGCTCAGCCATCCCCAGTCACCCCATCCTCTCCTCTCCTCTCCTTCCAGATAACCCGCAACCCCCAGGAAGCCGCGCCAAGAACCGTTCAGGTGCGTTACTCCCGGTGGAGAGTCCCCCACCACTCACGCGCCCCAGCCATCAGGACCATGCAATGCCGTGCACATGCACACGCACACTAGACGATCCGCAAACCCAGGTCCCTGTGCCGGAGTCCTCCCCCTACTCCCAGCCACCCCACCCTGCCCCATGCCACACCCCCACCCTGTGCCCGCTGTCCCCCGAGGCCGCGCTCCCTAAGCTGGTCATTATAGGGGAAGTGGAAGGACATGGTAAAGTAATGTAGAAGAAGTTGTAAGTGTGGACTTAGCAAAAACTGAAATGACCATATGAGGGAGATACACTGTACTATATGTTCAGGGATTATATGTCAATGCTTGGTGTTAGCTAGAAGACAAATTTGCAGCAGTTCGCCGCTTGCTACACCTCGATCGCCGACCCATAATTGATTATGGAGTGAGACTAGTAGACTCAACTGCAAACTAGAACTGTAGATATGAGCAAAGAGACAGTAACATGATAAGAGTAATGATTTAGTCTGTGAGGCGTAAGAATTCACAGCGAGAGAGAGCACAAAACAAATTCGGATACCGGACAATTGCGGAGATAACACTCTTTGAGAGCGT